TATTTTTATATCCCGCCTTTTGCCGTGGCAATCAAGGCGGCTTACATAATAATAACAACAACAACAACAACAACAACAACAACAATAACAACAGTAAACTACCGGGATTGTTTGAAGGTGAAGTTCAGTGAAGGTTTTCCCTAGGGGTAAAATGTCAGCCTGAAAAAATAAAAGTTTCAAAATCTGGCTGTACTTTAATTGGTCCCTCTATAAAAACTGGATTTTATATATAACCTCCACATCTACCTATGCAATTCTCACATATATTCCATCTTGAATCTATCTCTTGTCAGCCTCAGTCTCAGTCATCTCCCAACAGATCTCAGGGTATGTCATAACTAATCCTTAAAGCTTTACATCAATGGTCCTGAAACATTTTGGGGCTACTGCTCCCTATCATCTCGGGTGACAACCCTAATGCCCCCCATGCCTATTTATTGATATTAGGTATACTGTTTGTGCAGCAGTTGGATAGCCAGTGGTGTCTATCTCAGCTGTGCCCAGCTTTCCTCCTCCTCCTTCTCTTCAGCCTCTCATATATGAATACAGCAGTGGCAGCAGCCCAGGCTTCCTCCTTCCTTTTGCCCACAATGGCCTTACAGCAAAAGAAAGGCTGGCTGACTGCTCAGGTGCTGCTTCTAGTGTGACCAGCTGCAAAGAGAGCAGCAACTGGGCAGCTGGTTGAGCAGCAACTGGGCAGCTGGTCACCTTAGGAGCAGCAACAGAGCAGTTGGCTGAGCAGCGATTGAGAAGCATCTCACTCATGCTGGACCTGCAACAAAAGCCAAAGTTGGTGAGAGGCTTGCAGGACACTGCTAGACATTCTGCTCAGTTGAAGCTTTTTCCTGGTAAGGAGGACTCTCAATCTGAGCAAGGTGAGAAGCAAAGGACAATTTTGAAGAATCGACCCCAGATACTCTTCCCCCTCTTCCCCAGAAATGTGTCTTCCCCACACAGCTTCAATCATTGCCACACACAACCACTGTTTCTTTTGCTACCTCTTCCTCTCAGCATGTCTGGTCAACGAAACCTGAAGCAACAGTGCAGATCCAACCTGCCAGCCAAGTTTGGCAAAGGTCACAAAGCATAACTGTAAGCAAGGTCCTAAATTTGAAAGATCCTTTTTGCTGCTGCTTCTTCTCCGCCACCACGTGCTCTTCCATATGTCTTTGACAGTAACTAGAATCATGGGAGGTAGATGCTGATGTGATTTACATACATGACCTTCATCTCCCATTTAGCAGTGTCACTTTCTTTTGTAGATCTGCTTTTTTAACTAGATTTTAAAAAAACAAACAGACGTGTACTACTGTGTATCAGAGTATGCTTCTAGGAGTGTTTGTTTTCTCTGTGGGTGAGCCCAATTTGCCACCCATGTTCTCCATTAGAGGGAATAATACTTTGCAAAAGAAATGTACACCAAACTATCCTTTAAAGTCTTGAATGTTTCTCCTTCTTAATGATAAGCTTCGGGGGATGCACATAATAAATTAATAATAATAATTTTTTTTTATTTATAGCCTGCCTCTCCCCAAAAGATTGAGGCAGATAACAATCATAAAAATACAACAATACAGCTATAAAACAACATGATAAAATAGCATGATCCCCTTACTCCTAATTAAAACTAACGCTGTATCATAAAATACATTCAATGAATAAATGTAACTAAATTAAACA